TTATCCGGTCAGCAGCGATTGTAATCGCGCCCCCGTGCGAGAAAGAGAGAGAGAGAGTAAGAGAGTGTGTGAGAGAGACAGAGCGGCCACCCACGCACAACACACACACACACGGAAATAAAAACACCACCGTGTTGCACGATCAGTTTCCCCCGCGGTCCGCGGCGCAGACCGAGACGGTGTCGTCGCTCCGTCTCTCTCGCACTCACGGCGCTCTCCGCACAGTGGGCCAGAAGCCGGTGGAGGCGGCCAAAACTCTAGACGCGTTTTGAGCTCCAGAGTCGCTAAACAGGCCTCGAAACGAACATGTGACCCCATCAATGGATTCCTCGTCGGGAGAGCAATCCATTGGCGGGGTCACACGTTCGGTTCGAGTCCTGCTTAGCGACTCTGGAGCTCAAAACGCGTCTAGAGTTTTGGCCGCCTCCACCGGCTTCTGGCCCACTGTGCTCCGTAGGGGTGCGAGAGAGACGGAGCGAAAAGCTCGACAATGCTTGGCAGCGCAGACGATCGGCTCCAAACCAGCGTGCCGAGTAGCGTGCGCCGTGCGGTCTGGTCTGGTCGGGTTGGCAACTTGCGTCGCTCGAACTCGAATCGCAGACCGGCCGGCGCAGCGCAGCAAGCGCAGTAGCGCAGCGGGACGACAAAACTCTAGACGCGTTTTGAGCTCCAGAGTCGCTAAATGGGACTCGAACCGAACGTGTGACCCCACCAATGGATTGCTCTCCGAACGGGGAATCCATTGGTGGGGTCACACGTTCGGTTCGGGTCCTGTTTAGCGACTCTGCAGCTCAAAACGCGCCAGGAGTTTTGGCCGCCTGCGCCGGTCCTCTGGCCCACAGTGCGGAAGCACACTGCCGGGACAGTGGCCAAAACACGTCGGTCCTGCATCTCGCGCAATTATTCAGCAACAAGCATCCGGGATGCGCATCGCGCGGGAAATGCAAAACCGGCCGAATAAAAATGCAAACGCGCAAAGCCGAGGCGAAGAGGAGGCGGCGGCCGGGAATCCGGCAGGAAGACGGAAGCCTTTGACCGCCGAGTCGGCACCGACGGGCAGCGCGCGAATCAAAAGCAACGCGTAAAAATGCGGCAGGGCGAGATGAATTCAGCGAAACAAGCAGCAAAAAAACAATAGAAAAACCAAAGCCTGGAGTTCGAAAACGAGCGCTGCCGGCGGCGGCGGGAATCGAAGCAGTGCTCAGCTCAGTCCACGCGGCAATATGCACCGACAGGGTACGCATGCGGGCGGAGGGAACGACCCGGTTAGGAGGGCGCGGCCGGCGGGGCGGGGCAGGGCAGGGCGGGGCAGGGCAGGGCAGGGCGGGGCGGGGCAGGGCGGGGCAGGGCGGGGCGGGGCAGGGCGGGGCAGGGCGGGGCAGGGCGGGGCAGGGCGGGGCAGGGCGGGGCAGGGCGGGGGCCGGCAGGCCACGTCCCCGCCATAGGAGAGTCGTTTGAGGACGATCCGTCTATAAAAGCAGCGGCCCGTATATACGGCGAGCACCAGTGCACCGCGCTGCAGCGAACAGTGCAGCGCCACAGCGTTGCAGCGGCCGCTACACTGCACAGTAGGCCAGAAGACCGGTAGAGGCGGCTAACATTCTAAGCGCGTTTTGAACTTCAAAGTCGCTAAATGGGACTCGAACCGAGCGTGTGACCCCACCAATGGATTCCTCGTTCGGAGAGCAATCCATTGGTGGGGTCACGCGCTCGGTTCGAGTCCCATTTAGCGTCTCTGGTGCTCAAAATGCGTCCAGAGTTTCGGCCTCCTTCACCGGTCTTCTGGCCCACTGTGCGCTGTCGGACACGCTTCGAGCGCTTCGAGACATCGACCCGGCACGGCCGCCATCGGCCGCCTTAACAAGCAGAGGCGCGCAAACTCGACTCGCAAAGTGATTTCTCTTCGGGTTACCCTGACCGCCAGGCCGGGTCTACATAGGTTGTACGACCTTTTTTTGTCCGACCTGGCCAACGTATTCCGACCACATTTTTTTGTCCGACCTCATTTTGTCCGGCCTGGTTTTTTTCTGACGCCTCTATTTTTGTCCGACCTAAGTTTTGTCCGACCTAGGTTTTGTCAGCCAGGCCGTACCTGTCAGTCTGGTACAGCCACACTGTTCAAGGCTGGTACAGCCAGGCTTCAAGGCTCAAACGGCCACGCCGTTCGAGGCTCACAAGGCCACGCCGTTCCAGGCTCAAACCGCCACGCCGTTCCAGGCTCAAACCGCCACGCCGTTCGAGGCTCAAACCGCCACGCCGTTCGAGGCTCAAACCGCCACGCCGTTCGAGGCTCAAACCGCCACGCCGTTCGAGGCTCAAACAGCCACGCTGATCGAGGCTCAAACAGCCACGCTGTTCCAGGCTCAAACCGCCACGCCGTTCGAGGCTCAAACCGCCACGCCGTTCGAGGCTCAAACCGCCACGCCGTTCGAGGCTCAAACAGCCACGCTGATCGAGGCTCAAACAGCCACGCTGTTCCAGGCTCAAACAGCCACGCTGTTCGAGGCTCAAACCGCAAACAGCCACGCTGTTCCAGGCTCAAACCGCCACGCCGTTCGAGGCTCAAACCGCCACGCCGTTCGAGGCTCAAACCGCCACGCCGTTCGAGGCTCAAACCGCCACGCCGTTCGAGGCTCAAACCGCCACGCCGTTCGAGGCTCAAACCACCACGCCGTTCGAGGCTCAAACAGCCACGCCGTTCGAGGCTCAAACAGCCACGCTGTTCGAGGCTCAAACCACCACGCCGTTCGAGGCTCAAACCACCACGCCGTTCGAGGCTCAAACAGCCACGCCGTTCGAGGCTCAAACAGCCACGCTGATCGAGGCTCAAACAGCCACGCCGTTCCAGGCTCAAACAGCCACGCTGATCGAGGCTCAAACAGCCACGCTGATCGAGGCTCAAACAGCCACGCCGTTCGAGGCTCAAACAGCCACGCCGTTCCAGGCTCAAACAGCCACGCTGATCGAGGCTCAAACAGCCACGCTGATCGAGGCTCAAACAGCCACGCCGTTCGAGGCTCAAACAGCCACGCTGATCGAGGCTCAAACAGCCACGCTGATCGAGGCTCAAACAGCCACGCCGTTCGAGGCTCAAACAGCCACGCTGATCGAGGCTCAAACAGCCACGCTGTTCCAGGCTCAAACCGCCACGCTGTTCGAGGCCAACTGAATACAGAGGTCGGACAAAACCCAGGTCGGACAAAACTTAGGTCGGACAAAAAAATTGTGTCGGAAAAAATTCGGCAAGGTCGGACAAAAAAAGGTCGTACAACCTATGAGCACCGCGCCAGGCCGCCAGGCCAAGGATTTCCGGGGCGGGGTGGGAACTGGTGGGACCCTCGGACCGCACCAGCGGGGAGGAGCGGGGCGGGGCGGGGCGGGGCGGGGCGCTGGGTGATGCGCCTGGATCAGGACGGTGACGCGGCGAATCCCCTCTCCAGCGGCACTTTCTCCAGGCGTGTGAGCTGGGGCCGCCCGGGGCGCTGGAGCGTGTCCTGGAGCAGCCCGGGGAAGAGGGGCTGGAGAAATAACAAATTGCCCGGCACCGCCAAGGCGGCCGCGCCACGCCACTGCAGCGGCCAGCCCAGGCCGGGCCAGCCTAGCCACTGCCCGCGTGCGTGCTGCGTGCGTGAGCGATCCAGCAAGAAAGGCTTCAGGGGGAGAGAGAAGGTGCGGCAGGACGAGGAAAAAGGGGGCGAAAAAAAAAAAGGGCGGGCAGCTGCCGGTAGTCGAACCCGACACGACCGCGCGCCAAATCCGCCTCGGGGATAGCGACGGATTGAGTGGCCAAAACCTTGTTGTGCGGTGGCGGGCCTGCGGGCTGGCTGGCTACGTGGGCGCTCTCCGGTGACAGGGGGAGGAGGGGCGGGGTTTGCCCAGGTTTGACCGGGTGAGATCCGCCCTGGAGAGGCACGCCCTGCGGAGGGGAGGGCCGCCCTGGCGAGACCCATGAACTCATGAACCAAGATGTGCCGCTGCATGCCCTGCGTCCCTGGCCGTCCCTGGCGGGTCCCTGGCGGGTCCCTGGCGGGTCCCTGGCGGGTCCCTGGCGGGTCCCTGGCGGGTCCCTGGCGGGTCCCTGGCGGGTCCCTGGCGGGTCCCTGGCGGGTCCCTGGCGGGTCCCTGGCGGGTCCCTGGCGGGTCCCTGGCGGGTCCCTGGCGGGTCCCTGGCGGGTCCCTGGCGGGTCCCTGGCGGGTCCCTGGCGGGTCCCTGGCGGGTCCCTGGCGGGTCCCTGGCGGGTCCCTGGCGGGTCCCTGGCGGGTCCCTGGCGGGTCCCTGGCGGGTCCCTGGCGGGTCCCTGGCGGGTCCCTGGCGGGTCCCTGGCGGGTCCCTGGCGGGTCCCTGGCGGGTCCCTGGCGGGTCCCTGGCGGGTCCCTGGCGGGTCCCTGGCGGGTCCCTGGCGGGTCCCTGGCGGGTCCCTGGCGGGTCCCTGGCGGTCCAGGGGTTCATGAACTCGAATGCGCTTCTCCTCCCTGAGACCCGAGCCAGCCCGAGACCACCCCGTCAGACTAAGCAGCCTGCACTATATCTTGACCTTACATGCGCCGACCGCGCTGGGCCCCTCGGGCACATCCAACAACAACAACAACAACAAGCAGCAGCACCTGCCGCAACAACAACAACAACAACAAATTACTTGGAGTCTTACTAGGAAGCTGCGGTACAAAAAGACAAGGACGTCGACGAGCCCCACGGGCCGTGGGCCACGGCAGACTCTGAACGAAGCTAGGCGGCGGCTAGGCGATTCAGACGAGCGGCTCCGTCGCTCTGTCTCTCTCGCACCCTTACGGAGAGCCCCTACGAGTGCGACAGAGACAGCGCGACGCGAGCTCCTCTGAACCGCTCGGCGGCAAAGCGAAGCGGGGCAAGACGCTGACCAAACTCGAAGAAGGATCATTCCGGGGTCCATGCGGCATGCCGACTCTCCCAGCAACAACAACAACAGCAAAACAGCATCACAAACAACATCAACAACAACAACACAACAAGTGTGGCTTACGCGAGATCCTTGGAGGAGGTAGCAGGGCGTGGCCACCGGCTCCTGGTCCTCCTGCTGTGCCTGCAACACGGCGGCAGGGTGCAACGTTCAAGTTCCGCTTCCACTTCAAGGTCGGCTTGGGCTGCGGGCGGCCCGCAAATCGCAATCTGCTTTCCCGTTCCCGCTGCACTTTCAGGTTCGGATTCCACTCGGCGTGGCGGTGGCTTCGGCGCGGGCAAGAGTCGGGGCAGTGCGACGACTCCACGTCGCGAACGGAGGGGCTTCCCTTTGCCTTCCCCCGCCATTCGGTGGGCGGTACCCGCCAGGCACTTCCAGGACGGCGCAGATGCACACACACACACACACACACACACACACACGCACGCACCGGTCCGTATTCCACGCTCGAGAGAGCGACTGCCGTTTCAGGTGCACATTGGGATTCGGATTCGCAGGGGGAGAGGGGGGGGGGGGGCTGGACGGTTGAGACGTAGTCCCCCCTCCCAGCGCGTCCCTTGGTCACGGCCGGCGAGCACGCGTCGCCGACCGGGCGGCCTGCCCGCTCCGTCTCGCTCGCACGGGTGGCGGTCAATCACGTGACACACACACACACACACACACACACACACACACGCACACACACACGGGCAGCGCTTGTCAGGTCGACCGAGACTCCGTGTGTGTGTGTGAGAGCGTCCTCCTTATCCGGTAGTGGCTCTGAGTCGATTCAGCACACGGGCAGCAAGTAGCCTTGCAGGGGATGGAGTCCACCGCTCCGCTCCGCCACGCCGAGCCCTGCCGTGACACGCCGTGCCACGCCGTGCCACGCCGTGCCCTGCCACGCACCAGGTTTATCGGCAGCGTTACGACCCGTTTGATTTAGGGAGCCAAACCCACATATCAGAAATGGATGAGGCTTCGGGGGGAGGGGGGAGACTGTCACACATCGGACTGCCGGACCGGACCCTGCCCGGGATAATGGCCTCCGTCCAGCACCTGTTCCCCTCCATGACGTCCACCTCCACGTCGTCCCCCGGGTGCGATCCGAGGACTCGGTGCAGGCCGCTTCACACTGGATTTGCCAGAAGACCGGCGGAGGCGGCGAAAACTCTACACGCGTTTGAAGCTCCAGAGTCGCTAAATAGGACTAATCGTACGTAAGACCCCGCCAATGGATTGCTCTCCGAACGAGGAATCCATTGGTGGGGTCACACGTTCGGTTCGAGTCCTGTTTAGCGACTCTGGAGCCCAAAACGCGTCCGGGGTGTAGGGCTCATCGGTCGGATCTTCTGGCCCACTGTGCAGCAGCGCCTGTCTCTCTCGCACCGCCATGGTCCGGCAGCACGAGTGCGAGAGAGGAAGAGCGACGCAAGCGCGCTGGCGCGGGAGAGGAAACCCGGTCGGTCATCACGACAAGTTTGACCAGGGCCAATTTTCATCAAGTCCGCGCGTCCGCAGCGTCCGCAGCGTCCGCGCCACTGGAGTCGGCAGAGGAGCAATTGGCCCTCCGCTCCGCGCGTTTCCCCGCCGCCTTCCTTAATTTTCAAAGAATTTTCCCCCGAAAAACGAACGCCGAAACAGGGCGGCGCTGCTTTCAATGGCCCGGCCTGCCGGCCTGAGAACTACCTCGTTACCAGGCCGGGGGAGCGGGGGCGGCGCGGGGGCGGCGCGGGGGCGGCGCGGGGGCGGCGCGGGGGCGGCGCGGGGGCGGAGGGGGTGTGGGGGGCGGCGTGGGAAGTGGCGGCGCAGTAGCGCGGGACGGACTCGATAGAGTGTACACAGTGGTCTGATCACTGAGCCGCCGGGACCCACCCGTGTTTGCCTTTAAAATCAGCCAGGGAAAAAAAAAGAAAAAAAAAGCAAACCGAAAAAAAAAATGCAAACCGGAAAAAAAGAAAAAGAAATTTTTAAAAAAATGCGGGTAAGTGGACGCGGTGTGGCCGGTGTCCAGGTCGGCCCGCCTCGCCCTGCCGATCCACTAACGATGCTAATTCAACGCCATGCACGCGACACGCCACGCGGACACGCCACGTGGGGTCGTGGTGGCATCAAGAGCCGAGGGCCGGGGGGATTGGCGATTTAATGGGCTTCGGCTGGGCTGTCAGCCAGCCAGGCAGCCAGCCGGCCAGGAAGCCAGCCAGGCAGCCAAGACCCAGGCAAGGCACGCCCAGCGCCCTGCGACGCTCCACCAAACAACATTCCATTAATAGCTGGGCCCGCCTCAAATACCTTTCTCCTTCCTCTCTTTTTTCTCTCGCGTTCTTATCTCCCTCTTTTCTGTCAGCGCAACACAGAGAGAGAGGGGGGGGGGGGGGGCAAGCAGCAGCGTGGCGGGGCGAGGAGGAGCGAGGGAGAGGGAGAGGGAGGAAAAGAAGGAGGGAGGGTTAAGAGAAACAAGGAACTCGGTCTGAAAAAAAAGGTAAAAGCCCGCCGCACTGCGAGTCGCTTTTAATTTGGCCGCGTTGGTATGCACAGTGGCCGCCACACCCCGGACACGCCGCCCCGCCCCGCCCCGCCCCACCCCGCCCCGCCCCGCCCCACCGGACACCTCCCGGAGTGGGGCGCAAGGCCATCTGAGCAAACCGCAAACTTTGGTTGGGGGTGGTGCCGTGCCACCACATCACCTCATCACAACAACCGCAGATTCCACCCCACGGATCGCGGTGGCGCGGTCGGGCGTGTTTTAACGTTTTAACGGCAGGGAGTCCGGGGCGCAATTAGCGTGCTTGCGACCACCCAGGGGCCGCCCAGGGGCCCAACGCCCGGGCAGGCCGAAGGGAAAACCCTTTGTTTACGGTGTAACCGCGCGCACGGGGAATAAGGGGTGACTTGTGTCAACGTCACCGCAAGGAAACATGGTCCCGCAGGACCGAACCGACACGAGGAAAGAAAAAAAAAGGTCGCGAGCGGTATTTGAACCCGAGGCCCGATGACATGACAGCGATGACGACGGCAGGTTGTTGCAGCGCAGGTGAGCCCCCTCGACCCCGCGGAGGGAGATGCGTCGTACCATAACGACCCGTCGACCTTCCATGACTTATTCAAAACTCAATCCCGCGCCGCCCACATTCAGATTCATATTTGGCCCGCAAAAGTCGAATCTCATTCGGAGTAATACACGCGCGGGGCGGGGCGGGGTGCCCTCAGTGTGACCCGAAGCACCTGCCCACAGTGGGCCAGAAGACCGGAGGAGGCGGGTTTGAAGCTCCAGAGTCGCTAAATGGGGCTCGAATCGAACGTGTGACCCCACCAATGGATTTCTCTTCGAACGAAGAATCCATTGATGGGGTCACACGTTCGATTCGAGCCCCATTTAGCGACTCTGGGGCTCAAAGCGCGTCAAGAGTTTTGGCCGCCGGCGCCGGCCTTCCGGACCGCCCTGCGGCCGCCAGCCCGGATGGGAGTCGCCGCCGGCCGCCGCCAAATTGAGTGGAGGGAAGTCCGAGAACACGGGCCGCGCCGCGCAGCCGGAAAAACGAACACCGTCGGGCGGAAGCGCGACCGGAACTTATAGGATGACAACGGTGCGCGCGGGGCGGCGCGGGCCGTGCACAGTGGGCCAGAGGGCCGGTGGAGGCGGCCAAAAATCTGGACGCGTTTTGAGCTCCAGAGTCGCTAAATGGGGCTCGAATTGAACGTGTGACCCCACCAATGGATTGCTCTCCGAACGAGGAATCCATTGGTGGGGTCACACGTTCGATTCGAGTCCCATTAGCGACTCTGGAGCTCAAAACGCGTCTAGGAGTTTTGGCCGCCTCCACCGGTCTTCTGGCCCACTGTGCCGTGCCCCGGCCGGGCGGGGCGGTCCCCTGGCGGCATTTAGATGATGATACACGGGCCGGATGGCCGGACCGGGCGGCTCGGCGCGACGCCGGGACTCCGGGCGGCGGCTCCGCCCGGCTCCGGCGGCGTGAGCTACTACCCCGGAGGAAGAAATAAAGGCAAACGGTGAAATACAGGGGCGGGGCCGGAGCCAACCGGAGGGGCCCGGGGCGGGCCGCGGAGGGGGCGCAACCCGTACCGTACCATACCGCGAACAGACTTAAATCAATACGACGTCCGAACGGCACCGGGCCGCGATGAGAAAGGGCAGCTCACACACACACACAGACACGCACACACACACACACACACACACACACACACACACACACACACACACACACACACAGACACGCACACAGAGGAGAAAGGGTTCGACCGGGCGGGTCTTCCCTTCGCGTACAAGCACGGCGTCATCCAGCCAAGTCCATACAGTGTGTGTCTGTGTGAGTGCGGGTTGTGTCGCAGCCCACTTTTTTTTTTCGGACGGAATTGTTTGACGCGTGATTTTAAGCATGCAACGCCGCAAACCTTTTCCCCCGCGCCAAAAAAAAAAGGGTTGGAGGGGGATGACGCAAAAATAGCATTCCTCTATTCATCTGAGAAAAAGAGAGCCGCATCGGCGGGGGGCGTGTGCATGAAAGCGGCAAGTTTCCATTCACGGAATTGTGAAGGACTGCGAAAAAACAACAAAAACAGAAAAAACAGGTAGCTCCTGTCCGACGACGCTTTCTTTACGTTTCTAGCGTTTCCAGAACCGCCAGTCCGCCACTTCCAGGGAGGCGCCGCATCGCAGTCTGAAGCGGCACGCGTCGCACGCGCACACGACGGCCGAGGCGAGCCGGCCAAAATAATGAGTGCAATAAGAGCAGCAACAACAACAACAACAACAACCAAACAGAAGCTGGAAACAAAAACAAGGAAACGGCGCAGGCACGAATGGTTAAGTGGGCCAGACCAGTGGAGGCGGTCGAAATCCCGGACGCGTTTTGAGCTCCAAAGTCGCTTAACAGGACTCGAACCGAACGTGTGACCCCACCGATGGATTCCTCGTTCGGAGAGCAATCCATTGGTGGGGTCACACGCTCGGTTCGAGTCCCATTTAGCGACTCTGGAGCTCAAAACGCGTCTACAAGTGTGGCAGCCTCCACCGGTCTTCTGGCCCACTGCGCGCCACTGCCCGATGGAACCGCAAGGGGACTCACCGCCGTCAGCTCCTCCACCGACTCGACGTAGCGCACGCTGCCGCACCGGTTGAGGAACTCCTCGTACGTCTCGACGGCCGTGAGCTTGGCCAGCAGGTCCGTCTGCAGCTCCGACACCTCGCGGCGGCACGCTGGCAGCAGCTCCACCAGCCGCTGCGTGATGTCGATGCACAGCGCCATCATGGACTCCTCCCGGAAGTCGTACGCGAAGTTGTCCGTCCACTCGCGCAGGAAGCGCAGCACGTTGCGGGCCAGCATGGAGGACCGCCGCTCGTCCTGCAACGCCGAAAGGGGTTGGTGCACAGTGGGACAGACGACCGGTGGAGGCGGCCAAAACTCTAGACGCGTTTTGAGCTCCAGAGTCGCTAAAAAGGGCCCGAACCGAACGTGTGACCCTACCAATGGATTGCTCTCCGAACGAGGAATCCATTGGTGGGGTGACACGTTCGGTTCGAGTCCTATTTAGCGACTCTGGAGCTCAAAACGCGTCGAGGGTTTTGGCCGCCTCCACTGGCCTTCTGGCCCACTGTGTGGTGGCGCCTTGGCGCGCAGTGGATTTGCCAGAACGCCGGCGCAGGTGGCGTAAACTCTAGACGCGTTTTGAGCTCCAGAGTCGCTAAATGGGGACTCGAACCGGACGTGTGACCCCACCAACGGATTCCTCGTTCGAAGAGCAGTCCATCGGTGGGGTGACACGATCGGTCCGAGTCCCATTTAGTAGCTCTGTGGACCTCAAAACGCACTGTGCGACACGGTACGAAGTGAAACTCTGCCTCCACTCACCTTGCACCGGTCCATGGCCCGGATGACTCGCACCAGGACGTCGTTGAGCGGGGCGAACAGTCTGGAGCACAGCAGGAAGGCGAACAGGTAGGCGTCCTCCGGGAAGTAGTCCGGCGTCGGGATGGCGTGCCGGATCAGGGCCTCCAGCGCCCCGGACACCAGCGTGTCCTCGCGGTACACCATCGTCTGCAAGCACAACGACGAGCACGTCAGAGGACGCCACAGACTCTGTCGCTCTCATGGGGCGTCCCCTACGGGTGCGAGAGAGACGGCGTGAAGGTGGCCGAGGGGACTCTGCTGCGCTAGCGGCGCGGGCAGGCTGCTCGCGGGACTGCTTGCTCACGAAAAACGCTACATTATTAACCTTAACGCCAGTTCCTTCCACACTGTATCACCGGCTGAAAACTGCTCAGGTGGTATTTGAGCGGCGAGGCAGGACCCAGGCAGACCCGACCCGGGCCTTCGCCACCCCACTCCCACTATCGCGCTGCCGCCACGGCGCGGCACCGCACTGCACCCACGCCCAACAAGTAGTCCTTTCTTTGGCTCCACAAATCCCCTTCCCGGGGCTGGCCACGCCGCAGACTGATTCCGAGAGTCGTTTTCGTCGCTCTGTCTCTCTCGCATTCAGGCGGTGTCCTGTGTCGGTGCGGGAGAGACAGAGCGACGAAAACGACTCTCGGAATCAGTCTGCTGGGCTGCACCCTGCCGCCGGCCGGCGTGCCCACCCATGGCCACACCCTGGTTACTGCTAGCAGGCTCCGTCGCTCCGTCTCCCTCGCACCCCCGCGGCCCGTAGGGACGCCCCATGAGTGCGAGAGAGAGCACCCGGCCGGCACCAGTGTGCCGGCGGCGAATCGCAGCGGCGCGCATTGTCCGCCCGGCCCGTTCCGGTTCCACGCCATGGCCCCCGAAAGCGTCAACGCCGTCAGGCTAAAAGAAGCGCCGCGCCGCTTGCAGTCCCTGCAGACTGACTCCCAGAGGCGTTTCCGTTCGCTCTGTCTCCGTCGCACTCACAGGAGGTGTGCGAGAGACAGAGCGACGAAAGCGACTCTCGGAATCGGTCTGCTGGCCAGCTCGCCGCGTCAGCGGGCCCAGCGGGGCCGAGGCGCGACCAGAGTCACAGTCTGATGAGGGGATTGTGCAAGCACACTGCACAGACAGTCCTGCAGAGCCTCGACCAGAGGACCGGCGCAGGCGACCACAAAACCCGAGACGCGTTTTGAGCTCCAGAGTCGCTAAACAGGACTCGAAGCGGACGTGTGACCCCACCAATGGATTCCTCGTTCGAAGAGCAGTCCATTGGTGGGGTCACGCGTTCGGTTTCCAGCAGCCACTCGCCGCTCTTGTTCTCCTCCCTTCACTGGTGCACCGCCCGCCACTCCAGCGTCGTTTGGTTCGCGTTGGAGGCAGCCACCCCTGCGCTTTCGCTCACAGACAGCCCGCAGCGCCGCACCGCATGCGACTCCAGGCGGCTGCCCGGCCCGGCTAGCCAGGTGTCTCCGGGTTGTTGTACCCCCCGGCTGGCCTGTACCCCCGGTACACCATACCCAAGGCATCGTGTACCGGGGGTACACCAAACCTAGGTATGGTGTACCGGGGGGTACACCATTCCTAGGCATGGTGTACCCCCCACCCTCGAGGACAGGGGGTACACCAGTCCTTAGGAATGGTGTACCGGGGGGTACACCATTCCTTAGGCATGGTGTACCCCCTCCCTTGAGGACAGGGGGTACACCAGTCCTTAGGCATAGTGTACCGGGGGTACACCATTCCTTAGGCATGGTGTACCCCCCATGGTGTACCCCCCGGTACACCATTCCTTAGGTATGGTGTACCCCCTCCCTTGAGGACACACGGTCAATTTGATGTCTGGCAATTTCCAGATATTTTTTTTTGCATTTCCAGGTATTATCTGGAAATGCCGTTATTTTTTTCAGATTTTGTCTGGAAATGTCTACCTTTTCCAGAGAGTATCTGGAAAATGTTAAATCCCAGATAAATATCTGGAAATCAAAAGGCATTTCCAGATAATATCTGGAAATAATTTTTTCCAAAAAATGTCTGGAAATAAAGGCCTTGACGCCGAGTGGGGTACACCATTCCTTAGGTATGGTGTACCGGGGGGGTACACCGTTCCTTAGGTATGGTGTACCGGGGGGTACACTATTCCTTAGGCATGGTGTACCCCCTGTCCTCGAGGGTGGGGGTACACCATGCCTAAGGAATAGTGTACCCCCCGGTACACCATGCCTAGGGACTGGTGTACCCCCTGTCCTCAAGGGAGGGGGTACACCATGCCTAAGAAATGGTGTACCCCCCGGTACACCATGCCTAAGGAATCGTGTACCCCCCGGTACACCATTCCTAGGACTGGTGTACCCCCTGGCCTCGAGGGTGGGGGGTACATCATTCCTAGGAATGGTGTACCGGGGGGTACACCATGCCTAGGTTTGGTGTACCGGGGGTACACATCCGAGGGGGGTACACCATACCCGTTACACCGGCAGGGGTCGGGCTGGGCGACCGGACAAACTAATAGGGTGCGGAGCGGTGCGGTGCGGCCGGCAGCGGCGGATCCGTCGGACTCGAACCCGCGCCGTTTTCGGCAGTGTGCATCAGTTGGAATCACCGCCAAGTATGCCGGCCTTCATAAAACGAAACGCGGCCCGCTCGGAATGCGAGGTCGCCGCGGTCGCCGTGCGAGTGAGAACGGCGGCGCCCCGCCCCGCCCCGCCCCGCCCCGCCAGCTCAAAGTTTTATGTCCCAGACAATAACCGGCGTGGCGGCACTGTGGCGACACGGCGCACCAACCTGGCCGCGCTGCGCTGCTGCGCTTCCCTCCGCTTTTCCTCTCCGCTGCGCCGAAAACGGATTTCCCCATTTTCCGGTGTAGTGTGCGTGCAGCCGCAACGACGCCGGGCAAAAGAGGAAAAAAAGAACTCCAATTTTCCCGACTTGAAACCGCCGCACAGTGGGCCAGAAGACCGGTGGAGGCGGCCGAAACTCTAGACGCGTTTTGAGCTCCAGAGTCGCTAAATGGGACTCGAACCGAACGTGTGACCCCACCAATGAATTTGCTCTCCGAATGAGGAATCCATTGGTGAGGTCACACGTTCGGTTCGAGTCCCATTTAGCGACTCTGGAGCTCAAAACGCGTCTAGAGTTTTGGCCGCCTCCACCGGTCTTCTGGCCCACTGTGTGCGCGCGCGCACCGAGCCGCCAACCGCAGTGGAAGAAATTCCGGCGCATCCCCTCGCGCATCCCCGCCGCCGCCACCGCCGCCACCACGGCCGCGAGGACGGCGTCGACGACGTGGCCGTCAGAAACTGCCGCCGTGGCCAAACGACGGGGGAGGAGCAGCCCCGTCCTGTCGGGCCTGTCATCGGCAGAGCCTGGCGCAGCCTGGCCGAGCGTGGCGGAGCGAGAGAGACGCGAAACACACATCCTTTTTGTCAAGTTTCGTCACTCAAACGTCATGTTTCATGTTTCTTTTCTCCCCCTTTGTCGTGTTTTTTTGGCCGCCTGCGTTCGCCGCCGGCGGCTACACCCGGGCGGCTTACTCAGGTGCAGGGTCCAAATTGCCATCGGCGAATCGGGTCCAGGAAGTCGCGAAAACAGGGGGGGGGGGGAGGGCTAACAAGGATACTGCCTGCCGCCTGCATTAGGGATTCAATCCCAAGCATCAAAGTGAGCCCCCTACCGCCCCTCTCTCTCCTTGTCGCCCTCCCTCCATTAGGGGGATAAACGGCCGGGAAGAGGGGGCGGCACGGCGGGAAAAAATAAACAAAAACAATCGTCCGGACCAACAGCAACAACAAAAATGTGGGCGTTGAAATCCCGACACAAATAAAACCAATCTCGCGTTGCGGCGACGAGGCGCGTCGGTCACTCCGAACTGGGGCAGCGCGAGGAGAGAGAGACAGAGAGAGAGAGAGAGAGAGAGAGAGAGAGAGAGAGAGAGAGAGAGAGAGAGAGGAGAGGGAGAGAACGCAATGGCGAGCAAAGGGTGTGGCGCGCGCTTCACTGGAGACTTTACTGGAGTCTCCACTGAAGTGTACACTTGAGTCTCCCCTACAGTCTCCACTGGAGTCTCCACTGGAGTCTACAATGGAGTCTTTACTGGAAACAGCACTGGAGTCTCCAGGACGACGCCGAGCTTTGCAGAGCACGACGACGGGCCTCCAGGTGTGGCGACGACGGCGGGGTGCCTCGCTATGACTCGGAGGGCCACTTCGATCATCCCCAAAACGGCCGCAGCGGAGCAGAATCCGCATGACGAGGGAAGGGATGGATTGTGGGAAGCCAGTCGCCGCGACCTGCCCCGTGTTGGCCATTCCTTTGGCGTGTGTGTGTGTGTGTGTGTGTGTGAGTGTGAGTGTGTGTGTGTGCGCGCGCGCGTTTGTTCCGGGGAAGCGACGCTGGAGCGGTGACGTGGGTATGGCCGCGTGGTAAAAGTTATTGGCTAATCCTGAATATAGGTCATAAAACCGTAATCACATTACTTGTATCGGTGTGTGGCCCACAGTGTGGGAGAGGGGCGAGGCGCGGACCCTGAGGCCGCCGGCGAACGGCGCGAACAGGGACAGGGACGCGGGGGCGGCAGCATCGCGTTCCTTTTACAACTGACGCTGTTTTAACAGGCAAGGCGGCGCCACGCGAGGGGAGGAGAGAGAGAGAGAAAGAGAGAGAGAGAAAGAGAGAGAGAGAAAGAGAGAGAGAGAAAGAGAGAGAGAGAGAGAGGGAGAGAGAGAGAGGGAGAGAGAGAGAGGGAGAGAGAGAGGGAGAGGGAGAGAGAGAGAGAGAGGGAGAGAGAGAGAGAGAGGGAGAGAGAGAGGGAGAGAGAGAGAGGGAGAGAGAGAGAGGGAGAGAGAGAGAGGGAGAGAGACGCGCGCTATCGCTCAAAAAACAAAAACAAAACTACTGCGCCAGTAATGACCGCGTCCAACTCGAGCCGTCATCCCTGCGATAAGCGGAGAGGCGACCCGAACGGCGTTCTCAAACCAACGGCCAACCCCTTGGCGGTGCTCCTGCTGCGGGGCCAGCACACTGATTCCGAGAGTCGCTTTCGCCGCCCTGTCTCTCTCGCACCCACAGGGGACGACTCATCAGTGCGAGAGAGACAGAGCGACGAAGACGACTCTCGGAATCAGTCTGCAGGCCTGGCCGGGGCCAGCGCCAGGGCC